TATATATATATATATATATATATATATATATACACTACTACAGCTGCCTTCCTCTCTGAACTCTCACTTTTCACAGCTGCCAGCTGCCGTTGGCGCCGACACGGATGAACACAGCGTTGACAACAAATCGTCCATTGTGGACTTCGATGATGCCTTTCTGCAGGGCCTGCGTCCCGAGATGAATCACATGGACTTCCATCAGAAACTCTACTTCAAGCGTCGCGTTTACGAGCTGCTCAGCGAAATATTTGAGGGCGGCACAAAGGCGAACAGTCAACCGCGTACCAATGGCCAGGCCGAGACCGGCCTCTCCACCATTCCTATGCAGCACCTGGGCCTCTTGGGTCGCTCGCTGCAGCTGCCCAAGCTGGCGCCCAAACCCTCCAAAGATCTCTAATTAGGCATAACAATTGAATCGCCTAGAAATATGCCCAAAGATGGCCGCAGCTGCAGACGGTGCGCTGTGTTAACCATTTCGAATTTATGCTGTACAGTAATTTCCACATACCCATTGCCACTTGGGTATAGTTGTAGTTGTAAGACGTTACGATTTTTAAAATGTAATATTTACATTAAATACACATATTTTCATATAAAACGGTTTTCATTGTTTTGCATAAGTTGAAACATTCTGTTTGAGTGGGTCAAGGTGTAGCTCAAATGATTTTATATTATAGTGTAGAGGAATATTATAATTTAGTTAGGATTAGAGCTATCAATTATTTCCTAGATAAAACATTTTCTTTATTTTTACGGAATCTACCGAGTCGATGACCTGGAAGTTATTAAAGTATATGCAATAGCTTTGTTTTTTTTTTTTTTTCAGGCTAAATCTTTAAATAGAAAAGAAACTATACTTGCTATAGTATTTTCAAATATTTTTTATATTTTAAAAGTAAGTGGCAGGCTGAAGGATATATGACAAGATCATATACAAAATAAATATGAGAATAAGATAATATATGACAAGCTGAGTCATTTGAACTTATCGATTTCAGAATATATGTTTGTGTAGCTCTACGCATATCGGTAAGTACTATTATTGATTAAAATTCGAATGTAATCTACATTTTTAGATAAAAAAATATTTATCGAAAAAAAAAAAACAAAACATAGCCGATAGAAATAGAACTTCATTTTAAAAATCCTAGTCCAATATAGGTTTCTTCAATTTTAAGCCAAGCTTCAAAGTGAGAAAACATGTTGCATACTTTTAGGCTTTCCAGAAATTGAAATGTACGTTTTTCAATTATTAAAATATTATTAAGCAGCTCAATTTATTCATTTAAAATATATATATATATTTTCCAATATTGAGATTTATAATTATTAAGATTTACCACATAATTTAGTCGGTTTATATTTCTCAGGTTGTGTGTTTACCATATAATAATATATTACCACAAGTGAATTAAAATTAAAGTCATTTGTGAATATTGAATAATTTGCATAATATGGTTTATTTTATTTATATATATATATTTTTTTTAGCAAATACTTTTGTAAACATTGATTTTTGTTTGTTTTCGTTTAAACAATAAAATAATTATTTATATATCGTTCCCGCATAAATTATGGCATAAAATATATAAAATATTATTTATTCAATTTGATTTGCTTCAAACTTTTGCGTTTTTGCGTGCACTCAGAAATCATGTGTAAACCAATAATATGTAAAAGAAAATACCACTGTTACAAAAATTTCCATTTCTTTGTATCGTTTGAGAGAATTAAATACGTAAATTAGTTAAGATAGTTATGTACAATCAAAGGATATATAAAATATAAGTGTATATATATATATGTTTAATAGAGGACGCAGCCTCAATTCCAATTAGAAAAGTTAAATCAATTGCACTTTAAATTATTTAAATATATATATAGATGTATAGATGTATATATGATTACGATTACATTTATATAGATCGTTCTCTAAATGCAGAAACAAAACGTCGCAGCTGGCCTGCTCTTTCTCTTCGCTCTCGCTTAAAACTAAAAAATTGTGGCGCATTATCCTTATCAAGCTATTGGCGTATATAGAGTCTAGGCCAATGTTATTTTGACCGGACCCAGCGGCAGCTGCTTCATATAGTTCCAGGCATCGACGCGCGTCATTCTCGCCGTTGAGGCACCATTAATGCTAAGGATCTCGTCGCCGTTGCGCACCTGATTGGTCTTCTGGGCGGCACCACCTGGGGAGCAAATGGACTTTAGTAGTAGGAGTCTAGCTGGAGCTGGCTTTTGACTTACCCATGAACACCTTCTTGACAATCAACGGACGATTGCCCAGCGGCGAGTCGAAGCCACCCTCAATGGAGAAGCCCAGTCCACAGCTATCCTTGATGATTTCCACGCAACGCGCACCAGCGCCAGACGCCACGTCTTCAGCTGCAATAGCAAATGGACATTAAACATGATCCACATGGATTCTTAGGCTTCAGATCGCTTACCCTGCGCACGTATCTCCGCGGCAATGGCATTACGCGCCTCCGCTGCACGCTCCAGCAGCTCACTGGTGCTCAGCTTGGCTGCATCTCCGCGGGAGAGCTGACGCCTTGCCCGAATGCCCGCAATGGTCAGCTCAGCATCGTTGCTGCTCGCCTCGTCCAGCAGGCTGGCCGGCTGCTGCGGACTGCTCGTGCCCGTGCTGGGCGTGCTCGGTGTGCTGGGCACGGTGCTGGCGCCACCCTCATTGGACACGATGTCCAGATCCAGATCGAGCGATCGCGACGCCTTGTGGTAGTTGCGTTTGCGCTCGTAGTCCAGCTCAGTCGGCTTCTCATTCAGTGAGCTGAGCGAGCCCAGCGAGGAGCGCTTCTTATTCAGGGGCTTGATGATCAGCGATTCGGAGCGCGTGGCCACGACGACGACTTCCGGACGAGGTGTCTGTGGAGAGGCAGATGACGTTAGTTTAGAGTACCATTTATTGATGTATGTATGTGTATGCCCACCTTGAGCACGCTGATCGATTCACGATGTGTTAGGCCTCGCATGCTCATGCCATTGACGGCCAAGATGCGATCGCCCTTCTTCAGGCGTCCGTCCTTGGCAGCGGGCGTGTTGCTCAGTATCTTGTGGATCTGGCAATGAAGAGGATGCAAGATTAGATTGCTTCATACATACACATATTTATATTTATATAGAGCACTTACGGTTATTTCCTTAGCCTCATAGTCGGAGCCACCGGCCAGTGTGATGCCAATGCTGCTCTCTGGCGTGTCCCGCTGCAGGACTATGATGAAGGCTTCCGGTGTCTTCAGTGGCGGATCGGCCTCCTCGACAATCTGCTGCACGTCCTGTGCCGTGATCAAACTCTGGTTGCTGCCCAACGATGAGAAGCTGCCGAACTCCGTGGCCGTCTCTTGGGTGGTGCTCACGTTCTGTGTGGTGGAGCTGACGCCCGAGGAGCTGGAGGCCAGCGAGTCCAGCGAGCTGAAGCGCTCATGATGCGGCTTCGCGTTGGCCAGGGCGACGCTCGTGATTGCCTTGTGCACGGGCAATGGAACTGGGGGCGTGGCAGCTGCTGCAGCCGCCGCCGCGTTGCGCTCAAACTTCTCGCGCAGCTCAGCCGTGGTCTGCGACTTGTTGGCACAGCCCAGGCCCAGCTTTGGCGTCTGCGTGCGCTGCGGCACGGGGCAAATCACAGGCTTGGCCTGCACCACGCGCAGCTTGGCCTGCTGCACGGGATCGGCCTTGAAGCTGGCCTTGCGCTCCTCATCGATGAACATGGCACTGATCTTGGCCGGCGTATCCGAGCGCCGGCTGCTGTCGTCCGTATCCGAGGTGAGCTCCACATAGGCAGCCACATTGATCAGCTTGTCCACGACCAGCTGCTTGGATAACAGTTGATGCTGCTGCTGCTGCTGCTGCTGTTGCTTGTAGCTGGACTTGAGCCGACGCCCGTTCAGGACGCAGGCCTCACCGTCGGTGCTGTCGTTGTCGTTGTCATTGAAGTTCTCCTGCCCGCGACTCTTGGCGCTGCGGCACTTGGCCGAGGCCAGGATGCTCTTGCGGTTGCTGTTGGCATCGTTGCCATTGCCGTTGGCATTGGCGCTGCCGTTCAGCTGACACTTGAGCACGCGCCTGGTGAGATCCACGGTGGGCGTGCTGCCCAGCGAGCTGCAGCTGGCCTGCGAGCCGGCCGAGGAGCCCGACGTCAAGGTGGAGGTGTTGGAGCTGGCTATCGACGTGTTTGTCTCCGAGCTGAGCGTGCGCGTCAGCGCGAACTTCTCCGGCGGCGTGGGCACGCGTGCCGTACTGGAGAATACGGAATCTGTGTCGCTCTCCTGATCGGCGAGGAAGCTCTGTTGCAGCGGCAACTGTTGCTGTTGCTGCTGCTGCTGCTGCTGCAGCTGTTGCTGTTGCGGGGCTGGCCGGCTGGGCAGGCTCGAAGCGCTAGCTAGCGATGTCCTCGGCGGCTTGGCCGGCGGCTGCGAGAGCTGTGTCTCCAAGGGGCGACGCTGTGTGGCCGTAAAGAAGCTGCGATAGCTGCTGCCATTCATGTTGCTGTTGCTGTTGCTGTTGCTGTTGCTAGTGTTGCTGCTGCTAGTGGTGCTGTTGCTGGCGTGCCGCAGCGGACGCATCTCGCCCAGGCCGCTGTCCGTCGAGTCCTCCCCACTCGCCGCCTTCACCTGACTCTTGATCTCGGGCAGATCCAGTATGGGCTCCAGCAGCTGCGGCCGCTCCGGTATGACTAGGCCGCGCAGCTTGGACAAGCTGCGGCGCCGCTGCTCCAATATGTTGGTAATGGCCGCCTTCCGCGTGGCCGCATCGCCCTCGCCCGAGAAGCTGATGCGACGCTCCACAGCCGAGGAGGTGATGCTGCTGCTGCTGCCGCCATGCGTGCGACGTGGCAAGGATGCATAGCTGTAGTTGTAGCTGCTGCTGCCGCCGCCGCCGCCGCCGGCGATGCTGCTGCTGCCGTTGCTCGGCGTGGTCAGCGTGTGCAGCGAGTACATGGAGTCGGCCACATGCAGCTGCGGCAGCTGCTTGGCCAGCTGGTACTGACGCTGTGCATCGTTCAGGTTCTCCACGCTCATGGCGCGCGTCTTCAAGGACGGCGCCGGCGTCGAGGAGGCCGCCTCCAGCAAATTCTCGCTGCTCATGTTCAGTGGCTTGCGAGAGAACGTGGAACCGGAACTGGAACTGGAACTGGCTGAGGCTGAGGCTAGAGCTGGAGCTGGCGCAATGGCGTCCAGCTCGTTGCTGGATGAGAACATGGCTATTTTGTCGCGCACCGACTTCTCGGACTTTTCGTCTTTGCGCCAGTCGCTGGGCTTGCGCGGCGCACTGGCGCTCAAGGAACGTTGATAGTCGCGCACGCCACCGCCGCCAGATGGCGCTGTGGTCGCACTCTCTGTGGCGCGTGCTGTCGGACGCGCATCCTCCATATTGATGACCAAATCCTGGCGATACATCTTACGCGGCACCGTCGGCGGCGGTCCCGTCTTGGGTAGCGGCGGTGCGGCGTCCAATTTGCTGTCGTTGTTGTTGTTGTGCTCAAAGCTCAGCTTGGGATGCATTACGAGCGGCTCACTGAAGTTGGGCGGAAACTCGTGGCCATCGGGCGGCAGTCGGGAGTAGGTCGGTGGAGATGCGTAGCTCAGGTAGTCCTGCACCAGCAGCTGCTTCGTGGCTGTTGCTGTTGTTGCTGTGGTTGTTGCTGCTATTGCTGGGCTGCTCAGCAGCTCCATTTTGTTGTTGTTGTTATGCTTGGGCTGCAAGCTCGGTCCGAGCGTTGGGCACGAATTGGATGCGGACGAGGCCGTCGAAGTCAAAGTGGAAGTGGAAGCCTTTGTCGCTGCTGCTGTGGCCAGTAGAGGCTTCTTGCCGCCAGTTGCCGTTGCTGTTGCTGCTGCTGTGATGTTAACTGTGCCGATGCTGTTGTTGTTGTTGCTGTTGTGGTTGTGGCTGTTAAGGGTACCAAGATCTGTAAAGGGAGGGGAAAGGTTTGGTTAGCAAAATACACGAGGAGTAACAGGTGGATAGAACAACAAAAAGAGGGTATACAAGCGATTGGGTGGGGAGTTTATCGATAAGTTTAGGCATCGATAAGTACACGAATAACTCAATAGGTTCATAAAATATAAAATATAAGTGATTTCCTTGCGAATTGTTGTTGATTATCAATTGTAATTTATGACAATAAATTACAAATTCATTATAGCAGCATACTAGATTGATAAATTGTCGTGATTTATCGATGAGCATCGGTAATATTGAAATTGGGGCAAAAGCTCCACAAACAAAATGTGAAGATGTGTAGAAGAACAATAAGTGAGTTGGCTAATAAATCGATAAATCGATTAACAGATAATTTTTATTTGCAAAAATTTATAAAAGACAGCTGGACCTTATCGATAAGTATTATAAGCATAGAAAACATGCAGGAACAACTTATTGAATTGTATTCAGAAACTAAAAGAGCAAATTTTTCTTAAAATTAAATTTAATAGAGATGAAAGAGATCGAGGAGTTGACATATTCATAAACATTCTAATTAATTGATCGATAACGATAATTATTTTGATTATATAACTGGTATTTCCAGGAGGTTAGGGCTTAGTTAAGACACATAAAACAAATCGTAGAGGTTGTCAAAGGTTTCATAACTTGTTGAGGATTGTAAAATCACTTGGATAATGTTTTTGGTCTTTACAGGTAAAATGAGTTTGCGTAGTAAGCTGTAAATTGAAGATTTGTGTAAGAGAATTAGAGAAAAACAGAAAAACAGTTTAAAAAACAATTTCCAAAACTTATATCTATTAGCCGGCCGCAAAGACTATAATTATAATAAGCCAAAAAACAAAACAAAAAATTGTAAACTGAAAACGGAAAACTTTCGCCCAAAAATAAAGCGAAACAGTTGCCATTATGCGCTAACCCCCCTGCGACTTAAGGCGCATCTTATGTATACCCCAAAAGCAAATAGATATATATGTATACATCTCAACTACTCTTCTAGCTGAGGGCAATTAAAAACCGCAAGAGCCGCAACATCTGCAGCAATATACATAATAATAGCAATAATAATAATAAGTAGCTATCATAATGCCAGAGACGAGCTGAGATTTAAATAAACAAATTATGGATAAACAAAGCTTTGTCTTAACTCAAAACGGAACAAAGCCAAAAAAAAGCAAAAACCAAAAACAAAAAGCGAAAGTTTTGCTAATGAAGAATAGAAAAAGTTTTTGTTTAGGTTGACAGATTTTTGTTTTGGATTATTTCTGTTATTTTGTTTTGTTTTGGCAACTTTGTTGCGTATTCGGGTCAATCGTTAGGGCGAGCTGAGCACAAAGAAGATGTGGAAGAAGAAGACTCTAGTGTGCACAATTTCACTGATTGAAATAAGAAATTGGACTGCCTCGAACTAGGAGAACGCCCACATATCGCTCACACTTCAAGCCATCTTCACATACATGAACGAATTTGCATTTTTAATTAAGCCAAGACAAGAATAAGGCAAGCACAAAAAAAAAAGCGAGGCTATCTTTCCATTAAAATGAAAACCGCTGCGTGCTTCTATTTTTTACTTCTTTCTACACTTTTTTTTTTTTTTAAACATATACTATGTTGGAAATTCTTTAATTCTTAATTTTTTTTGCGGTTCGTTGTTGGGTTTTGTAACTGAAGTTCTGTGCGCAGTGTTAATGAACTTTTGGCCAGCCGCAGAGCGGCTAAAAAGAAATCATGTACGTGTAATATATGTACATATATATATGTATGTATTTAAGCCGCATGTGCAGAAACTCTGGCCAAAAAGAAAGAACTGTTGAATGTTTAATTTCCAAAAGGGCCTCAAGGGCGCCGAAGACGCAGACCTAGAAAGTGTTTGCGCTTGTTTGAAAGCCAGCCAGAGAAACCCTGAGGAATGCAGTCATTCCATTCCATTCCAATCCATTTCATTTGATTAATCAGCAATCGATAAGTGCGCAGACATTCACTTATCGATGAGGCATAGCTGCCACACATTTAACTTAGATATCTGAATGATATGATTCAGCCAGGCTCTACACTCACTCAAGGCTAAGATTAGATTTTGTGTAATTTTTGTAATCATGTCACTGGGCACTTGGAGATCCCGCTTGGTTACCCCGCCAGCCATTCAGCTTGTCGGCAGCTAATTGGCTTTCATTATGGCCACATAATATTTAATAATAATTGTTATTATTCATCTAAAAGGCCCTTTGGGCGACCAATGAATACGCTTAGCCATTCTGATGCCATGCTTAATTAATCAAATTAGCCAAAGTTGGGGGTAAATATGAAGAGAAAAAAAGAAGCGAATTCCCTGAACCTCGACGAACTCTTAGACTGGGAGATCGAACTCGCAGGCCTACGACAGGCGGCAACAATTAATCTTCAACTCTCAAGTGTAACATGAGGCGCCCCTCTCGGTTAGGACTTTTGATATTTGGCAGCTGGCAGTTGGCAGCTTGGCAGCTTGGCTCTTTCTTTGTTGGCCAAAAAGCCGAGCGAAGCGGAGATTTTTTTTTTTAATATTATGTATGCATATCGTGGCTGGCCGGCCAGCGATTCTTATCTAATGAATGTTTTATGTAGGCGCAAATGAAAAATAAAACATAAAAAACAAAAACAAAAACAAAACCCGACTCGTTTCGTTCGGGACACCTGCCACAATTTTATAATTTGTAATCTCTTCTGATTGCGTTTCCCTGGCTTTATTTTTGGCAATTAAATAACACCGTTGCTGGAGCTGGAGCTCACAGCTCTCCAATAATATATATAAATATATATACATACATATTCTCTTATTTTTTGTTCACCTTTAGCTGCCCCGCTGTGTGCTCTGAAACAGTCGACTGGCTACATTTAATTGTAATCTTCAGGGGCTCTCGGCGAACGTTCGCCGTGTGAAAGGTTAAGAAGATTATTAGAGGTTCAAACTTACAAGATCAAAAAAATACAAAAAATAAAATAAAATTGGCAATGGGAATTTCGGATTCGAGCTCGAATTCGAATTCGAATTCGAATTGAGGAAATGAATGGCGGCCGTGCACACAAGTGTTCCATGTCCAACGATCAACTGGAAAGTCGTACAATTCTCGGTACTCCACAAATATCAAAAAACGATTCTTGAAAGCTTCGGCGCGAGGCATTTCCGTGCTCGAGTCGACGCTTTCGAGTACATGCCAAAGTGTCGTCTTTAATTAGAAGCGAGTGAAACCAAAGCGGCGGCTGCCGACGCTGTTGGGAATCTCAGTGCTGAGGAACGCTAAGCTACGCTTTAAAGTTCTTTGGAACTGGCTGGCATAACTCGAAACTTGCTCTAATAACTTCCGCTGCTGTGATCAACATGCGACGATTATTGCATAAGACTCGGGGAGCACTTGGCGAGCAGAGCAGCGCCACCTACCGCTGATAATTATAAATTGCATAGTCTTTGCTTTTCCCACAGTTTTCCTCAATGAGTTTTTCCACAGTGCTCCCTTCCATTTGGCTGTGGCAGAAAAAATCCTGCAACAAATTGCGCGCATTTAGCGCACAAAATGCCACTTAGAGTTGCGCCCCTCTCTGCGCTTCTCAACGTGGGAATCGCTGTTGAAAATCGGCTTGCGCGCTGCTTACCGTACGTAAATAATTGAAATTAATATAATAAGTTTTTTTTTCTCTCCTTTTGGTTTTATTTTTTTTTTTTTGTACGCTTTCAGCGATTTCTTTAAAACATTTTATCGCTCGCATTTTACTCGTGTCGGCGTTCCCTTTGACGTCCAAGAGACGTGAAACAAAAACAAAAGACCAGAGAATAAAATGGTTAAAAAAATGCGTAGATTGGTAGCCCGCACATTTTTCTACATGGCTAGCATTCTGCGCTGATTCTTCGTGGTTTCTGATGCTTTTTATTATTATTATTATTTTTGTTGTTTCTTTGTGTTTGTTGTTTTTATCTTCTTTACTTCTTTCAGAGCCTCCGACTCTTTGACCACTCAGTGGACTGTGAAGCAGGAACCCGCGCTCGCATATTGTTAGCAGCTGGAGCCAGCCGTATGGCATATTTCATTTTAATTATTTTATTAAAGCCTCTCAGCCACAATGTGCAATTACTTAAAGTGTTCAATGCGTCGTTTGATGGATGGATTGGATTCAAGAGTTTCGCAGCTCAATGCCCGAGGTGCCCAGCCCCCATTTATAGATCACTCAGCACCCAGCTGAACTACACGTCGTCGAGCTCAATGCATATTAATAGTCTTTTACTAAACAAACTCTTGCAATTTTCTGTTTGATCAGCAGCTCCTCAAAAAAAAAAAAAAAAAAAAAAAAAAAACAAATTTAAAGCTCGTTAATTGCTACGCATTACGATAAAAAACGCAAGACATGCGTATTATTTAGTAGATGTGTATTTACATTGCTAGAAATAACTTAAACATAAGCCAAACAGCTGCTGCAGAAACAGCCGTTGCTTTGTGAACAAAAGTACAAATATATTTAAATATATATGTGCATAGATATGTGGAGCAGTTACTAATTGTAGTCGTTGACTAATATACCCTGTTAAAGTGCTCTTCAGATAATTATTATGAACAGTTGATATATTTCATTTTTATAAGCCAAGAAAATATTTAAAATAAATTGTAAAAAATATTTAAGTAGTGTAAGAGCATGTTATAAATAAAAAAAAATAAATGTAAATGTAATAAATAAAAAATAATAATAAATTACATATAAAAGTGTTTATAATATAATTCATATAAAATATAATTTTATTTATATTTAAGTAATGAAATATATATATCTAAAAGTATTTCAATTTTGTTAAACAATTTATTTATTTTATTTTTTAAGAAAAAAAAATTAGTGAATAAAATACATCTACTTTTATTTAAAAGTAGATTTATTTTATTATTAAAAAAAATAGATAGATAAAAAAAAGTTAATAATATAAATCTACTTTTAGAGTTATTTTAT